GGGCGGGGCGTGGGGCGCCTTCTCTTTGGGCTTCCATGTCGTGCCGGGTGTCACCATTAAAAAGGAGGTTTTCCTGGAATGAGCGTTCGTTTCGGGGCCGTGGAAGCGACATGGTTACGGCTGTATGTTTAGCACGCGTGCATTTATTTTTGCACTCATCCAACCAGTGTCTGAGCGCTCCTTTTGGGCCGGACTCTGCCGGGTGCAGAGATACAGTAAAGAGCAAAACAGATGAGATCCCTGCCCTCTTGGAGCTTATATTCTAGCCGGGGAGACAGTCGGTGAACACACGAAGTAACAATAAACTAAGTGCAGACTAGGGCTGAGCGCCCTGAGTGAGAATAGCGAAGCGGGGGGCCTCCTTTAGAATAGGGGTTCAAGCAAGATCTTTAAGCAAATTCCAGGCAGAAGGAGCAAGCGCAGAGGTGAGGTGGGAAAGAGCCTGGCCTGGGTTACGACCTGATCAGACCTTTGTGGCCAAGCTTAGTGAGGTTGGACTGGCCTTGTAGGCCTTGGTAAGAGGTTTGAAAATTTAGAGATATATTTTGGACACGTTAAGTGTGATATGCCGGACAGACACCAGGTGAAGGGGTCAGTCACCTGGATAAGAGTTTGGCACTCAGAGAAGTGATAGGGGCCACTCGGAGTGGAGTCAGACGTAAGTTTAGACATCATCGTCATATAGGTCATATTTAAAACCGTGGGAACAGATGAAATCACTAGGAAGACATTGTAGAGAAAACTCCCAGGGCCACCCTTTAGACTCTGCCTAGAGAGGGAGAAGGTGGAAAACCTCGAGAGGAGAGTGGTGTTGTAGAAGCCGAGAGTGTTCCCAGGAGGGGGCTGTTGGTTGTTTCAAATGCTGCTGAAGCTCAAGAGAGATGCCTGAAAAGTGACAGCTGGATTTGGCAACATGGAAATTTTAGGTGATTGTCACAAAAGCAGTTTTCGTCCAGTGATGGGGATGGGAGTGAGGCCAGAGGGGATTGAAAAATGAGAGGGAGGTGAGTAAGGAGGGGCAGAAGGTGTTTTTGAGTTCAGTAACTGTTGAATGAATGAATGCATTATGTCAGGTGTGCACGAGAAATCGGGGAAAGAAAATTCAGAGAATTAAACCGTGCCTCTAATTCCCAACAGGGAGCCCTGGTGGTGCAGTGGTTCAGGGCTTGGCTGTAATCGAAAGGTCGGCAGTTCAAACCCACCAGCTGCTCCGAGGGAGAAAGATGTGGCAGTCTGCTTCTGTAAAGGTTACAGCCTTGGAAACCCTACGGGGCAGTTCTACTCTGTCCTTTAGGGTCGCTATGAGTTGGAATCGACTTGATGGCAGTGGGTTTTTAACTGTCTTTTGGATGAATGGATGCCTTATCTCCAAGGCAACGACAGAAACTAGGAAAAGAAAATTCAGAGAGTGAAAGAGTGCCTCTAATTCCCAGCTCATGTTTCCCCTTCAGATAATCTAAATTCCTCCTTCAGTGCTTCCTATTTCTGTTTCCTTTTTCCCCCAACTCCAACTCTCTTCCTGCATCCAAGCAGTCTCGAGTCCTCCTGGTTCTGCCTCTGAAAATGCCTCTGACTTCCTGGCTTTCTGCTTCCTTTTTCTTTTATTTGTTTGACCTCAGCCGAGAGTTGGGTTCATCACACTCTTCAGCTTGTGGGAAGCTGTAGGGGGGTATGAAGTTCTTCTCCTTGTAGTTGATTTATTCCTGTTTATCTCTATTCCCCTCTCCTATTTCTCCCCGTCCCCCATCACGGCAGTAGTTCAGCGTTTCTTGTGTCTAACTGCTCTATCAAAACTGCTCTTGTCAAGGTTACCAGTAACCTCTGAGTTGCTAAATGCAGTGATCAGTCCTCAGCTCTCATCTAATTTGACCTATCGCTCCTCCCTCCCCTGCAATGCTTTCCTCACCTGGCCCTTGGGATATCACATTCTCCTGGTGTTCTTCCTACCTCACTCGTTGCACAGTCCTCAGCTCTTTGGTTAGTTCCTCTTTCTTTCCTGCTCTTTACATTTTTGAAGTGTTCTAGAACCTAGCCTCAGATCTCTATGTGTACTTATTTCCTTGGTGATCTCATCTAGTCTCATGGCTTCAAATGCCCTCTTTATGCTGATGGCAGCCCTGGTGGTGCAGCGGTTAAGAGCTCAGCTGCTAACCAAAAGGTCACCAGTGCACTAGCTGCTCCTTGGAAACCCTATGGGGCAGTTCTCCTCTGCCCTGTAGGGTCACTATGAGTCAGAATCGACTTGACAGCAATGATTTTTTTGGGTTATATGCTGATGAGGTGGAGCCCTGGTGGCGCAGTGGTTAAGTGATATGGCTGCTAACCAGAAGTCGGCAGTTCTAATCCACCAGCCACTTCTTGGAAACCCTGTGGGGCAGTTCTCTTGTCCTCTAGGGTTGCTAGGGGTCAGAATTGACTCAACGGGAATGGGTTTGGGTTTTTTTGGTTTTGGATGCTGATGTGGAGCCCTGGTGGTACAGTGATTAAAGTGCTCAGCTGCTAACCAAAAGGTTGGCAGTTCCAACCCACCCAGCTGCTCCATGGGAGAAAGATGTGACAGTCTGCTTCTGTAAAGATTTACAGCCTTGGAAACCCTATGGGGCATTTCCACTCTGTCCTATAGGGTTGCTGTGAGTTGGAATTGACTCGACAGCAGTGGGTTTGATTTTTTGGTTTTATATGCTGATGATTTCTAAATTTATGTATCCAGCCTGGAACTTCTCCCGAAACTCTAGGTTCAGATATCCAACTGTTTGCCCCAGTTGGATGACTAATAAGCAGCTCAAGTTTAGCATGTCCAGAATTGAGCCCTGATCTTCCCTCCGTTCTCCTATGCCCCAAACATGCTTCTGTAGCCTTCCCCTCTCAGTTCATGGCAACTCCATTATACCAGTTGTTCAGAATAACCTTGGAGTTATCCTTGAGTCTTCTCTTTTCTCTCATGCCCCACATCTAACCCATCAGGAAATCATATTGGCTGCCTCCACTGCCACCCCTGTCATCTGAGCCACCTCGTCTCTTGTCTTGGTTATTCAGTCGCTTCCTAACTGGCTGTCCTGCTCTGTCTGTTCTTGCTCCCTTTCCAGTCTGTCCTCCACGTAAGAGCCAGAGGGATCCGCTGGAAACCTAAGTTAGATTCCTATTCTCAGCACCCTCCAGTCACTTCCCTTCTCACTCCACGTGAAAGGCAGTCTTTACAGTGGCCTGTGAGTAAGATTGATGCATCCCTGCCAGTTGTCTTTCTCTCGTTCTGACTCTTCAGTGTTCCTGCTCCACCAGCCCCTGCACAGTCTGACCCCCCAGTACCTCTCTGACTCCTGTGGCTGCTCCCTGGATCACCCCACTCCTCCACATGGATCTCCTGAAACATGAGTCTGACCCCCCAGTACCTCTCTGATATCTGTGGCTGCTCCCCAGATCACCCCGCTCCTCCACATATGTCTCCTCAAACATGCCAGGATGTTCTTCTCTGCACTTGCTCTTCTCTCTGCTTCCATGCACCTTCCCCCAAATATCTACACAGCCTAGATCCTAACACTCCTTTCTCGGGGCAGCCTCTCCTGACCACTGTGTTTAAAGTGACCCCCGCTCTCCAATCCCCCTCAGTCCCCTTCTGTGCCTTATTTTTCTCCATAGCACATATCTTCGTCTACATATGTTGTCCAGCTGCTTCTTATGAAAATTTTCTAACATGCAGGAAAATTGACAGACTAGGACAATAAACACCCTTATGCCCACCACCTAGATCCAACATTTGCTAACAGTTTGCCGTGTTTACTTTATTCTCCTCTCTCACATGTGTGTATTTTTGACTGAACCTGTTGAAAGTAAGTTGCATGCGTGACGTCACTTCCCCGCTGAATTGTTTCTCGCGCATCTCCTAAAAGTCACGCCGTGCTTCTACATGATCATGTCATCATCACACCTAAGGAAATGAAAATCAATTCCTGTAACTTGATATCTAGACCGTATCCAAAATTTCCCTAGTTATCCCCCAAATGTTGTTTATAGCTGTTCTTTTTCTTTTATGGCGGGGTGGGACCGAGGATTGGCTCAAAGTTCATGCATTGTTTTCGGTCTGTTTTAATTCAGAAGAGTCCCCCTACCTTTCTGTGGGATAACTGACTTTCTAAAGAGACTAAGCCAGTTGTCTTGTGAACTCTCCCACATTCCGGATTTGTCAGGATGTTTCCTTGTGGTGTCATTTAATTTGTTCCTCTACCCCTGTATTTCCTGTAAACTGGAAGTTAGAGCTAAAGTTAAACACTTTTGACAAATATTTCCTGAGCGATGGTGTGAATTTCATATTGCGTCGCACTAAGAGATGAACGAGTTTCAAGCTGTTTCTTTTTCTTTTTTTTTTTTTTTGGATGAGTCTACATTTTGCTTGGTTGAAGTGGTGATGGCTAGATCTTTCCTTGTAAAAGATAGTTTTCCCTTTGCGATTAGCAGGTGATTTGTGAGTGATTCTTTGGAACATACTACTTATTTTACCTATTTATTTTGCTTATTCTCTGTCTCCCCCCAAGATATGGCAGAGCTGGCATTAGACTGTCCCGCACCCTTGTCTCAGCACCTGCCTCTCCCTTGCCTGGCATTGTGTGCTATATACGTTTGTTGTTCCAGGAGTCTGTGAGCTTATCAGAAGCAGAACTTTATCTTGTCCCTCTTTATATCATTCATAATAAATAGCCACCAAGTGGATTTTTGTCCCCAATCGGCAAGGAAGCAGCAGATCACCCTCCCAGAAACCCAGGGTAGAGGTTCTAGTCACAGAGCAGTAGAGTCGGAAAAGACACTTGCAGGGCAGGTGCAGTGGCCCCCGGCCCCGTGGCCCGCCCCACACCCCGTTCAGATAGAGGAAGGTTCTGTTGGAGCTTGCTTGAGCGAGTGTTTTGTTCTATTGCCGTCAGTCCCAATCAACAACGCTGCTTCAGAGACCCGGGGACACCCCCACAGTGCCGCCTCACCGTCGGAACGGACGTTCGCGATGCCTCTGCCCAGGAAGGCCCCTCTCAATACCCCTGGCACCCCGATCCTTGAAGACTTTCCTCAGAACGATGATGAAAAGGAGCGACTGCAGCGGAGGCGCTCCAGGGTCTTTGACCTGCAGTTCAGCACAGACTCGCCTCATGCGCTGGCCTCTCCCTCCAGCAGGTGAGCGTGTTCCTGGGCTGGCTCCCTCGGGGAGCCGCTGTGACGTGGGTAGCGTGTGTCCTGCATCTCCACGATACCGCTGTGGGCCTGGGTTTGGAAAAGTCACAGGATCATGGATCCTGGCTAGAGTTTTCTGTGTTTGTTTTCAATTTAGGAGTATTGACAGTTCAGCTACAATTTCCAAGTTTACAAACACACAGATAACAGAGCATTACTCCACCTGTATCAGATTGTCCACGGAAAATGTGAGTATCTGCTGGCTTATCATTGGAGATTTTGCAACTTGATTGCAGGGGGGTTTTGTCTTGATTCTATAGAGAATGCATGATTGATCATAATTGTGTACTGCATTTTTACACAAATAATGGGGCGCAGTTGGCAAACAAATGTAGAAGGTGTGTGGCTCTTAATGTTGATGTTTTTCGATGTTTTTACTGTTTCTTGTGGACCTTTGGTGCCCCCGCCAGGTTGCCACCACCTGCAGTGTATCTGGATAGGCAGGATGGCTTAGGTTAATAGTGTGAGCTCTGGAGCTAGATTGCCTGAGTTGGAATCCTGTCTCTTCCACTTCCAAGCTGTGTGACCTTGGCAAGTTACCCAGCCACTCTGCCTCAGGGTCCTCAGGTCAAATGAGAACAAGACTAGTATCTAACTCAGAGAGTTGTACTGAGGTGACTGAGTCCCTTTGTGTGAGGACGAGACTAGTACCTACCTCAGAGAGTTGTTCTGAGGTGACTGCGTCCCTTCCTGTGAAGACGAGATTAGTACCTACCTGAGAGAGTTGTTCTGAGGTGACTTGAGTCCCTTCGTGTGAGGACGAGACTACTGCCCACCTCAGAGAATTGTTCTGAGGTGACTGAGTCCCTTCCTGTGAGGATGAGACTGGTACCTACCTCAAAGAGTTGTTCTGAGGTGACTGAGTCCCTTCCTGTGAGGACGAGAGTAGTACCTACCTCAAAGAGTTGTTCTGAGGTGACTGAGAGTCCTTTCATGTGGGGACGAGACTAGTACCTACCTCAGAGAGTTGTTCTGAGGTGACTGAGTCCCTTCATGTGAGGACGAGACTAGTACCTACCTCAGAGAGTTGTTCTGAGGTGACTGAGTCCCTTTGTATGCAGTACTTAGAACAGGTCCTGCACACCATGGACACTCAGGAATTTTGTGCTCTCCCTGTGTAGACGTTGAGAATGAGGAGGAACACATGTGGATTTGGCTATGTCACCAGGGTTTTCTGGGAATTCAGGTCAGTGGCGAGATACAGGATATTCCTATATAAAAATTTAGCTTCTTCTCTTCAGGGTAGCATTATTTACATGAATCTAGGCTATAAATAACAAACCTTTCTGCAATTTTCTGTTTTCAGAAAATCACTACCAAGAATGCTTTTGGCTTGCACTTGATTGATTTCATGTCAGAGATTCTTAAACAGAAAGACACCGAACCAACAAACTTTAAAGTAAGAAGGATGTCCCCTGTTTTGCATTGGAAATAATGATGACTGTTTCTACCACTGATCATCACACAATAGTAGAATTCTGCAAATACATGAGAGCCTCTCTTGTTTAAGACATTGTTAGCTACATCACGGTATTTCCTAACCTAATGAAATGCAGAGAAGATACCTGTGTATTATGTTCTGGTTATTCGCTGCCAATGGTATGGGATTTTTGCCAGTTCAGAAGCAGCTTTTCGAACATCCTCATGAGTGTAACTCTGCTTGTTTGACTAGGTGGCTGCTGGCACTCTGGATGCCAGCACCAAGATCTATGCTGTACGTGTCGATGCTGTTCATGCCGACGTGTACCGAGTCCTTGGGGGACTGGGCAAAGATGCCCCAGAAGAAGTGGAGGGCCATGGTGCAGGTATGCAGATTGGGGTTTGGATTTAATGGGCTGCTTTTAGGGTGTAGCATGTAGTTGTTTGAGTGATCTACTGGAACGAAGTCACACGAAATCAATTATCTTATGGACATTTTCAGAATTGGATATGGTCTTGCATGAGAAGTTACTCAAACATGAGTTATTTTTCTTGGAAAAAGAGAAAGGCCTTATAAAAGCTTTTAGATCTTATTTCGACAAGGTTGAGTAAAATCACCAACCAGGTTGCTTCGGATGTGGGGTCTGTGGAAATCGACTTGCATTAGAAGCCAAACAATTAATCTAGCGCAGTAAAACCTGTGAAAGCCGGAACCTGTGTAAGGCAGAAACCTGTCAGAGAAGGAAAACGCAACTATTTTCCACAATAGAGAGTGACAGAAGAGCAGTAAGACCACACCCTGTCAGAGGCGGAAAACTTGCCAGACCGGGAAAAACAAGGCAGTCCTGTGGAGTTCCGGCTCTCGCAGGTTTCACTGTAGTTAGATTTCTCCTAAGCTGCAGATTAGATGTACCTGTTGCTTTGAGTGAGTTGTACATGTTTAAATTATGACCACTCTTTAGGGTTTTGAAGAACTTGAATTGATGATAACAAATTCAGTTATATGCTCCAAAGCAGTCTTCACACTCCACAATCTTATTCCTTCTTCCTTTAGATGGAAGTGCTTCCGAAGTGGGAACAAACAAAAAGGCGCCGAAGCCAAAGAAGAAGCACTCCTACAGAACCATCGAGCAGAACGTGAACAACCTCAACATCTCCGAAGCGGATCGGAAGTGTGAGGTGAGGAGCTGTGTGCACAGTGTGGCCTCTGACTGATTCAGAATCTCAGGGTCTGGTGCTTGGCAGGGCTGAGCTGCTTCGTGGGTACGTGCTTGTGTAAGCCTCAGAGGACTACAGTGTTCACCTGGCATCCCTGCGTTATCACCTTTAGCTTTATAGTGAAGATTGAAGGTGCTAAGTCCCTGTTCTTCCCTCACTCTAGCAGAATGATGAAGTAGAAAAAGATGGCAAATTGCTGAGAAACCTGATTGATAAAAAAATTAATTTTGTTTCCTAGTAGAAGCAGCAGCAATGATAGCTAACATTTAACTGTGTGCTTCCTGGTGCCACGAGCTGCCCTAAGCCATTGGCCTGTGATGACTCATTTCGCCCTCCCAGCAGCCTTGTGACCTCTTGAAATTTTCATGATAAACGGGGAGAGAATGATGGGAGGACAGGAATGAAGACACTGAGAACAGGCAGGTCCTTTGAAGACTTTCGCCATAGATGGAAGCAGAGTAATGGGGCGGCAAATGGAGGAGGAAGTAAAGCCAAGAGGTGTTTGTTTTAATGCGAGGATTAACAGCTTGTTGACTTGTTGATGGCAACTGTGTCTAGTGGAGGAGTAATTACTGATGATGTAGACAAGGAGGGAGAGGTGCTGGAGCGAGCAGGTAAGGAGAGAGAGGAGTGGACAGTTCAGGTGGGTGGGCTGAGGAGTACCAGCAGCTGGGAGGGGATGCATCTGAGTGTGCGCGCGTGAGTCTGAGTGCCTTGGGGATGTCCTTTTGTGGTGGTGTCTTGTTCCCCTCCAGTAAAATAGAAAGCCAGGTCATCAGCTGGCAGGGAATGTGGGGGAGGAACGTGGAAAGAGTCCTCCAGGAAGGTGGGCAAGGAGTGGACTAGGGAAACAGCCTGGTGGCCAGACAACACACAGGGTCCACTTGAGGGTGGTGGAGACAGATGTAAAGTGAGACCAGTCAGCGTGACTTCGTCCTTCCCAGCCATGATGAGCTGTGTGGGTGCAAGCATGAAGTGGGCAGGAGGTTGGGTTTAACAAAGGAGTGTGTCCCGCTGGGTGAATGTGACACAGCTAGCAAGGGGCATTGGAGTGAAAACCGCGTGCAAGGAAGTGGTTACAATCATTGCTCGTGGAATTGTAGCTGGGAAGACGGGAGGGAGTGAGGGACAGGAAAGTGATACAGTTAGTAGATTGTAGCTCCCGGTGGGGGTCAGAGACTTGGCGTTGCAGACAAGAAGGCATACGCTGGAAAGACAGGAGGTCATTTCAGAAAGGGGCACTTGGAATTGAGCTTATGGAGCAACTGCAGTCCTGGTTAATGACAATTCAGGGAACAGGCAAGGGAGTGAAAGGCTGAGGGGACTAAGGCGTCGGGGCCTTGCTAGGACCTCAGAGATGTAGAGTTCTTAGGGTGGTGGACAAGAGCATTGAGGGAGAGGTTGTCAAGTGGCTGAGAGGCCAGAGAACTGGATGGATGTTGAAATCCTCCCAAATTATGACAGGCGTACAGTTGAAGAATAGGAAGGAGCTGGGAGCTAATACTCAGTCTTCATAGAAGGGGTGCAGAAGTGTGACCAGGGGATCGGAAGGTTACTACAACACAGATGGAAAGAGGGTGGCAGAATCTGATGTTGTATTCAAAGGTGAGGGTTTTTGGGAACTGGGAAGGAGACTAGTCTGGAAGCTGCATGAGGAGCAAGGAAATCGTCTACCTCAGTTGTAGGCCCAGTGGTTGGAGGGCCTTGGGAGAGAAAACAACTCACTGGAGAGGGGAGAGGGCTGCAGGGGCGGCAGCATCCTGGGGGAGCACCGTGCTTCCTGTTTTCATTATTGTGCCTCCTCAGAACCTCCAGACATGTTGTTCCTTGAAATTAAATACTGAGGAATAAGATTTTGTTGAGTCGGGTTGAAGTTTGAAGAGCCACAAATTATTGTAATATCTAAGTTTTTTTTCACTGCCAGCAAGAACCAGCTTTCACCTCCTTGAGGGTGTTACTGCCCCCATTGAGAATGCGTGAGAGCAAGAAGGTGGAGGAACCTTCAGGAGGGAAGCAGGGAACATAGGGAATGTTTGCTGGTGACTGGCTGAGTCTGGAGGGAGATGGGTCAAAAGGGGATGTACAGTGTTGTATAGGGTCTAGAGTCTGGGGAATGTAGACTCCTGGGGGTCTTGGGTCTTCTTTGTGTAATTAATAAATAAACTAATAAAGGGCAATAAAATGGGAATTGTCCTCATAGCAGATGGGAATGATGAGGCTCAGAGTATAGTGGGATAGGGAAGAGAGGGGTTTGCTAAACAAACAGACTGACACAGTGTCTTAGTTATCTAGTGCTGCTGGAACAGAAATACCACACGTGGGTGGCTTTAACGAACAAATTTATTTTCTCACAGTTTAGGAGGCTAGAAATTCAAATTCAGGGTGCCGGCTCTAGGGGAAGGCTTTCTGTGTCAGCTCTGGTGGAGGTCCTTGTCTCTTTTCATCTCCTGTTCCTTGGTGATCTTCATGTGGCATGGCATCTATTTTCTCGCATCTCTGCTTTCACATCTCCAAAGAGATTGACTTAAGACGCATCCAACCCGAATACTGCCTCATTAACATAACAAAGAAAGCCCATTCCCAAATGGGATCGTAGCAACTATGTTGGTGTTGTTGGGTCTTCCTCTTTTCTCTGACCCTCCACTCTACCAAGTATGATGTCCTTCTCCAGGGACTGGTCCTTCCTGATAACATGTCCCATGACAAAGACTCACCATCCTCGCTTCTAAGGAGCATTCTGGCTGTACTTCTTCCCAGACAGATTTGTTCATTCTCCTGGCAGTCTGTGGTATATTCAATATTCTTCGCCAACATCCTAATTCAAAGGCATAAATTCTTTGGTCTTCCTTATTGGTTGTCTAGCTTTTGCGTGCATATGAGGCAATTGAAAACACCATGGCTTGGGTCAAGTGCATCTGAGTCCTCAAGGGACATCTTTGCTTTTTAACACTTTAAAGAGGTCTTTTGCAGCAGATTTGCCCAATGCAATATGCAGTTTGATTTCTTGACTGCTGCTTCCATGGGCATTGGTTGTGGATTCAAGATTACTTTGGTTCCCTCTCTGTTTTTGTATTCAGATTGACCCCATGTTTCAGAAGACTGCCGCCTCGTTGGATGAGTGTAGCGCAGCAGGGGTGTTCCTCTCCACCCTCCGCTGCTGTGACTACAGAAGTGAGCTGCTGTTTCCTTCTGACCTGCAGGTTCTCTCCACTGGAGAACCTCACGAGTTGCCCGATTTAGGTTGGGTGGAAATGGCAGATTTAGAAGGTAAGTTCAGATAGTGCCTCTTGCCAGAGCGTCCAGTCACCAGGGAGGTTTTTCTGTAACCGCAGATGTAGTCAGCCCATTATGCCCTTGGCTTGCTTGTTTAAATTACCCAGAAGGTGCCTTTTGGGAGGGCCCAGCACAAAGCAGTACTTTTTTCCTCTCTGCAGCGTGGAATCTGAACCCGTAATAGCTCATGCTCACCGTCGCTCTTGGTCTCTGTGCCACATAGTTCAAATGTCCACAGTTGGAGTTCTCACACTCACGTACTGGGGCCCTGGGCTAAGTGTCAGAGTTTAGACTTGTCCAGCCCGAGAAGGCTTGTTCTCGTTTATCATCAGAACAGGGGTCCTGAGGAAAAGAGGGCGTTGTGAACTGTTTTCAGAGTTCTCTGTGGCCACCTGAGAACTGCCCCATCCTGTCGTGGGCCCCCTTATACTGGCCTGCCAAGGATTTTAACACCCCTTCCTGTTCCACGCCCCCCACTCCCCACCGCCCCAGCTCTGGGGGTGATCGCCTGAGGATGCTGTGACGCAGCACAGTGAATGTAATCGCTTTTATGTGTCGCGTGATTGACCCTCGTCCCCCGGGGCTGGGTGAATGTTCCAGTGCCATTCCCGTCCTTTCTATTCCTGTCTAATCTGTGCTAAGTGTATGGTTTGTGCAAACAATCTATTCCAAGTTTATACACTCTAAACCGGACCTCTGATCCTCTGAGGTGGGTGATCTGTAGTGAGTTTGGTTTGGGACTAAAAATAAAAGGCATTACGGGACTGGATGTGTTCTGAGCGCGCTGTAAGGAGGAGCTTTTGATTTCCTGACCACGGCATAGTGCACGCAGTTTGTTTCGAAACAAAAGGTCTGTCCGTCAGGATTTCTACCCTAGTATTTTACCAATTCTCGGAATGCTTATGTGTAATCCAAGTCGAGGGTGGTCATGCCTGTGCATGAGCACATTCCCAGGAGGGTGACTGGAGATGTAGAGCTTGGCTTGCGGCCATCACCCGGTCAGGGTTGGCACTCGAGCCTCTGCCAGACAGTGATGAAGCAGCTGTGCGCCTCTCAGCTCCGCTGTGCGCCTCAGTGTCGTTTTGAAAGGAATGAGGGACGTACGGGGTCCACCTCTGATCCTCTCTGCTCTCCTGTTGTCTGCAGCTCCCTTGCAGCAGTGTGCCGAGGATCGCCAGATCTGCCCTTCCTTGGCTGGGTTCCAGTTCACTCGATGGGACAGTGAGACGCATAATGAGGTGTGGTCAGCTTCTGGGCTGAAAGGGCACTGGGCATGTCTCCAACGGCTCGAGGTCTCGGTTAGATGGTCCACGATTAGTTCTGCCCAGTGGGAACCAAGCTCTGTGGCATCATGTCTGTTTAGCTGGGAGTACAGAAAATATTTCCTCTGGCACCTCTGCAGGCACAGAAGCCTGTGGGGGAGAGGGCTGGGGCTGTGAACCCCAGCAGGACCAGTAGACAACTGAATGAATTCTGGGGTCAATTTCCTGTCCCCTCTTCTCTGCTTCCCTAGGGTCAGGCAGGACTGCTGTTCATGGTGAGCATTTTACTCTCGGTTATCCCAGTGACCTCTGCTCTCCTGGGCTGCTGTCAGGCTCCAGGAATTTCCTGCTCTTTGGGGTTAAGTCCCTTGGCGCAGCGTTTCCTGAGAAATTGTCACGTGTGAAGCTTCCCTCTGTATTTTCAGCATGGCCGCCACTTAACTACAACTGCAGAAATAAATGGTCTCTGTGGAAAGTTGTTTTCCCTAAACATGTAGCTAATGGATATGAATTCCTGTCTCAAGTTTTATGAACTGTGCCTGCCAACAATGGGGCTCCATCCTGTGCTCCACAGTGTAGACTTCCTCATGCTCACTCCCATGAGGACGTTGGCCCTGGGAGGGTGGGAAGGTGCTACGGGTAGGCTGTCCCTCCAGGGGTGAAGGGGTGGGGATGGCAGTGAGGAGAACCCCTGAGAACCCTCCTCTGTCCCCTGCAGTCCGTGTCAGCCCTGGTAGACAAGTTTAAGAAGAATGACCAGGTCTTTGACATCAACGCCGAGACTGAGGAGGCAGAGTGTGGGGACTACCCTGATGGGCCCCTGGAGGACGACTTTTATGCCAGCGATGAAGCCGAGCACACCGCAGCTGGGAATCAGGAGGAGTTCAGGAGCTGGAAGGAGCCCTGCCAAGCTCAGAGCTGCCAGTAAGGGTCTCAGGGCTTTGGAAAGGTTTCCGCACGAGTTGTCCACCAGTTCTGACGGATTTCCTGCGGGGACGGCCCAGTTTCATCTCTGATTGGCTGGCTGGGTGTTGTGTTGTGCGCATAGCTGAGCTGCTCTGACTCATGCTAGGGTCACACGCTGGCTTTGAACGTTGGTTCGGCCAACACAAATGATAACAGCGACACTGCAGGAGCTCATGAGTGTTAGAACTAAAATACGTGAGTGCTGGAAAACACCTGGGCTGTAGGAGCTACTCAGGAGGTGGCTGTTTGGGAGCACAGAGCACTCTCCCTTTCTACACACTGCACGTGGTCTGGCTCCTGGCTACGTCACGCCGTATCACTTATGGACAGCAACGGGCTTATCTGTCACTTACAGAAAAAAGCAGCTCCCGCCTGACGGGTCGAGCAGAGAGGTGGGATAGGCAGGATGGCGTTACCAGACAGGGAGTAGTAGAGCCGGGAAACCTAAGAAAGAAAGAAAATTGAGCGTATCAGTGCTGGAGAGGTAGGATTGGCTATTTAGTAATTTAAACTTTTCATTAGTGAGCATCATAAGAAAAAATCAGAACTTTGCTAGTCCTTGCAATGTGTACTTAAGAGATGAGCATTGTTTTAATTTTGAATATGATTTGAAAGGGAGATCCCATAATCCTTTAGTGCCGATGGCCTTGCGAGGTCCTGAATGAGCCTGGTGATGCCATGAGATGAAAATGAATGTGCCTCTGGTAACCCCGTACCCGTAACAGCAGCTTTGCAAGCCTGGGGTCAGCACAGCCAAGCTGGTTTAGGGTGTTAAAACCTTACAAGTTGTTCAAGGCAGAAACCCCAGTAAGAACACTGCTTGATGAGAGTTCTTTCTTGAGCTCTATTTGTCTGCCCACGTGGGAAACGGTTAAATTGATAATGTCTCTTCAAATCGAGGTAGAAACTTGGGAGGCTGAACATTTGGAACCTTAAGGCAAAATTACCCGTCCAGGCCCTTCAGCACCCTCCTCTCCCGACCTGTCCTAGGAAGGTAGCCGTGGCTTTGCCCCTGCTCCCGTCACATCTTCTAGGATGTGAGCAAAGGGAGGGCAGGCTGGTGGAACAAGTGCTTCTAACAGCCTTGTCAAATGTCAGTGAAGAGCTGTCCCTTCCTAAACAGTGAGGTGACGTCTGCGGAACTGCTGAGAGCAGAAGGCTTCAGTCACTTCCATTTTGTTGGGGGAGGTTTCTTCTGTTGGTTATTTTGAACAAATTTCTCTCCCCAGTTCCAAACAGAACAAAATCTTAGGATCCGCCGTCCGGAGTGTATTAGGGGCAGGAGGTTTAGGTTCCTGTCTAGAGTTTTGTCCATCCTTCAGTTCCCCACCCTTGGCTTGGTGCTGGGCCTCTACCAGGAGCTCAGTAAGCGTTTGAACTGAACTAGACCTGACCCTACCACTAATCGCTGTGAACAATGTAGGGCAAGTCTCATCACCCTGAGGTCTTTGTTTCTCGTCCGTAAACTGAGAGATGGGGAGCAGATGATAATGGTACTACCTGACACGTATCGAGCTCCTCATTAGCCTGCCTTTGTGCCGGACCCTATGCCGAGTCCTTCACATGCCTTTCACGTGGTTTACATAAAGCATAACTGCTTAATCCTTGCGATAACCCTGTGATTAGGTCCTGCTATTCCTGTTCTACAGATGAGGACACAGGCTAGAGAGGTCAGGTACGGTGGTGGAAGTGGGAGTCACTCAGCCCTTCTAGCCGATCCTGGCTGCACTTTGATGTGCAGGCCCCACCCCGACCAGTTAAATGAGTCTCCGCAGTGAGCCAGGCACTGCTTTACTGTTACTTGAAATTTCCCTGGGGGACTACTGTGCACCCGGGGTTGACAGCCACTGTGGACGGTCCTGAAGGAGTGTTAAGGCCTCTCCAGCTCGAGGTAGGGTGGGGCAAATGCTGATTTGTAAACACCAGTGTTCTGTAAGGAGCCTGGTGGCGCAGTGGTTCAAGCAATCAACTGTTGGTGGTTCGAACCCTCAGCAGCTCCGCAGGAGAAAGATGTGAGTCTGCTCTCATCGAGATTTACAGCCTCGGAAACCCTCTGCAGTCGCTATGAGCTGGAGTCGGCTTGACGGCAGTGGTTTTAGTGTTCTGTAGGGTGCTCCCGGTGGCAGCACTTCAACAGCCACGCACAGTGTTGAGACATGGAGCTCTTTGTGCACGTATGTTAACAGGGACCAAAAAAGAAAAAAAAACTGTTGCCATTGAGTCAATTCTGACTCATAGCAACCCTATAGGACAGAGTAGAACTGCCCTGTAGGGTTTCCAAGGAGCAGCTGGGGGATTCAAACTGCCAACCTTCTGGTTAGCAGCCTGAGCTCTTAACCACTCTGCCACCAGGGCTCCGTGCCTCCTGAAGTATCTGATAAAAGTGCTTTGTGTCTCGGCAGTTCTGCATGCCGCCTTTTCCTGCTGTGGTGGAGCGTGTTTCCTAGCTGACTCCTCTGTGGTGCGTCCTGTGAGGTGCTCGCTGTGGCTGAAGATGTAGTCGGTGGTTGAGGCCCAGAGCACAGCCTGCTCCACGCGTGCAAGAGTGGGGAGGCATCCTGCTGCGTGCTGGGTGATGTGCTAGGAAACGGCCACAGGCTTTCGGATAATGTGCTAAAGGGCAGGGGGCGCCTGTGACTGGGAAATGAAGCGTTCCCCCTAGGGCATTAGAGAAGCTCGGTGGAGGGCAGGCCTTGGAAAACGGCGGCTGTGGATCGGGTGAGTGGCGGAGTGGTGGACTGGGCCTAGCAGGTGCCTGCCCTGCAGCATTGCATGTGGAAGGACTCCCTGAACGGCTAGAATCCAGGCCTCCAGAACCTGGTCCGCAGACTCTTCGGGGAGTGGAAGCCAAGCTCTGAGTACTTTGCTTCTACGTTCTCAGTAAAGCCCCAGCCTGACAGCCAGCACTTCACAGAAGATCTGTGAGAATTTAGTGGGGTTGCTCCTGACGCCCCCTTCTTTCTCCCTGTGGAGTTCAGAGTGCGCTGTGTTTGTTACTTAATAGCGCGGGCTGGGCACCAGGCTGCTGTATCACTGGGTCTTACAGACCAGTGTATTTTAATTTTAAAAATCAAGTCTTAATTACCCAGTAAATATACAGATACAGTCTAAATACAATTTCCTGGTTTAAAAAAAAAAAAAGATGAAACTGTAGATTAAATCAAAGTCCCCTTTTAAAGCTTTGTTAATTAACTCTCAACCGGGCTTGACATACAGGGGGTTTAGATCGGTCGCTCAACACAAGTGTAAAGCCGCGTCTGTCGGAAGTTTCCTTGTTACCTTCTCCTTCAGAGGGCAGCGGAGCAGCACTCACGTGTTTTCTAACAAGTCAGAGGCCTTAGGATAAAGCTACCAGTACATTCTACTACCTTGTAGAAAAAGGGAAAAGCCAAACCAAACACAAGCCTCCGTGCTAGACGGGTCAGTTATACGCTTCCCAGACAGCAAAGAATGAAGCTGGATGACCTAAGACAGGTTGTAAGCTGCCGTCGTTCGGGAGGCTAAAGATGTAAGTTAGAGTAACGTCTTTTTTCAGGTCTAGTAGGAACGGCAGCAGTGTCTGTAGGTGCCCTCACTTATGAAGAGTAGTGAAGGAATGAGGGATTATCCTGCGTGGCAGGAAGCCTTGCTGTGGAGACCCCAAGGCTGGAATTCACGGAACTGTGTCCAACCGCCAGCCCTGGCGTTTTACAGCTGTGTAGTTTTATGTGAAAGCCCAGTTTCTCTGTACCTCTGTTTTTTTGTCTCTCGAATGGGTAGACTTTCATTTGATGAAGCACTTTGAAACATCCAAAGTACTGGTATAGACATGAACATATTGTCATGAAATTGAGAAGTGAGAGCACTTTGAAAAGTGAAAAATAAGAGATTGTTAGTGAAGTATGTACGTTGGACTTACTCTTGGATGTGCTGCTTATTTGTGGAGAAGCGGGTAGGTGGAGTCTCCTTCAGCTGCATCACAAGCTTCTCTTGAGTCAGCCCCTTCCCATGTCCTGTGTGCTGCAGGAAAGAAGTCATTCCCCTCGGGGACGGAGACATCAGGACCATGTGCCCCCTCCTGTCCATGAAACCTGGAGAGTATTCCTATTTCAGTCCCCGCACCATGTCGATGTGGGCTGGCCCGGATCACTGGCGCTTCAGACCTCCACACAAACGTACGTACTTGGAGATGGACTTGAAGAGAAGAGAGAGTGCAGCTGACCAGCCGGTCAGCAGTCAGCCAGGGAAGGGAAGTGCCCGTCGCTGCGCGGCTGCGCCATCTGCTAAGCTGGCGAAGCACACAGACAAGCAGCCTCCTGGTTGGCTGGTCAGCTGGTCTGCCTGGGACGAAGGGTCAGTTGAGATTGGGTCCTCTGAGTGGGCAGTGTGAGTACCTGAGTCAGGACAGGTGGGCTTGTGTCCTTGTACTGCTCCCTAGCATCCACACGACCCCAGACGGCAGTAGGTGGGAGTGACCTCCAGGCTTCGGCGTGCCCACGTGCGTTACTGCACAAGGCCATGCTCTGCAGACCTCTGAAGGGCTAGGCTGGCGTTGCGTGTTTTGCATTCTCTTTGAAAGGAAGAAATTAATTAGCATATGTTTTTTATTGTGTTTTGTTAGCAAAAATAAATTACAAATCTAGGACATATATATGACTTACCTTTCTTAAACTGTTATGCTCAGACACACATGCTGTCTTGTGGCTGACAAGGCTGTCCATAGGTTTTGTGAGATAAGTAAATGATTTAGGCCACAGAGTACTGACATCTGCATGCATTTCTGCAGAAGATGCTTCCTCAAAATCAGAGAACAAAAAGAAAAGTACAAAGAAAGATTTTGATATCGACTTTGAAGATGATATTGACTTTGATGTGTATTTTCGAAAAACAAAGGTTTGTGCTGCGTTTATTAGCATTTGTGCTTTCTTAAATCACTTTTTGTACTCCTCTTCCCCTTCAGATTTAAAATTCATGAGGAATTTAACTCTTATAGTAAACAAACGGTTTCATTCTCCCTTAGTCCCTGGAGGGATTGAGAAGTAGTCCCAGACTCAGTGGCAGAAAGCATCCAGTTCGTCCTAAGGGAAATGGTGTCTATAGCAGAATCAGTTTTTCACGCGAAGCTCTGGGATCTCTAAGGGCAAACTTCACGGTTGCTGTCGAGTCGGCTCCCCACTCCTGACAACTCCATGTGTGTCAGAGAGGAACCATGCTCCATGGCGTTTTCAATCACTGGTTTTTTCCAAGTAGATCACCAGGTCTTTCTTCCGAGCTGCCACTGAGTAGACTTAAACCTCCAGTCTTTCAATTAGCAGCCACGTGTGTTAACCGTGTGTACCACCCAGACAGCCCAGTGCTGTCCAAACTCTCTCCACTTTCCTTCAAGAAAAAGATGTTCTGACCATTCTTAGTAAAGAGGAGTCAGACACACTTTCTCCTTTATGACCAGGCCGCCACTATCCTGAGCAAGTCCACTTTGGAGAACCAGAGTTGGAAAAGCACCACCCTTCCGACAGATTTCCTCTATGAGACCAACAACCTCGTCCAGCTGCACCTCAAACCCGGTGTCAGGGTAAGGCTGCTCGTTGGGCCCTGCGAGTCTCTGTCGTGGTTAGACCTGCTTAGAGCATATTGTTGTTGTGTGCGGTCAAGTCCACTCCGACTCGTAGCGACCCTACAGGACAAAGCAGAACCGCCCCATAGGCTTTCCTGGGCTGTCGCATTGATGGGAGCAAATCACCAGGTCTTTTCTCCCACGGCACTGCTGGGTGGGTTTGAACTTCGACCTTTTGGTTAGCAGCTGAGCGCTTAACCAGTGTGCCACCAGGAGCTATCAGGTATGACTGCCCGCCAGGGCCTCTGAGGGAAAGGAGAGAGTGCAAGAGGGGTATGTGTTAGCCGAGGGACGTTACCGGGAGATTCAGTGGGTAAGGGATTAAATCAGCTAAAGGGAGAAGCTTCTAAGATAGATGTACATTAAAGGGTCAGAAACACCTTAACTGTTTAGAACGCGGGACACTGACGCCCACACGCTGAAACGCAGGGGGGTCTTCATGTTTTTTAATTGCTCCTGGACTCACTTTCTCGTTAAATTTGTGGATTCACTAGTTCGACGCTTTATGCAACCCACGTTTCCTCACTCATCATCACAGTGTAGGAACAAACCCACAGTGACAAGGAGGGTAGTATAGGTGTGCCAAGCACACATCTGTGACAGATCTCAGGAAGTTCAGAGCTGCCCCAGGAAAGTGACCGTTAAACACAGGCATGGCGGGGTGCCGCACAGATGAACCACTGTTCAGTATCCTGAAGGATGATTCGGCTAGGTAATGCGTAAGTGGGACCCTGTACCCCTCCGGAAAACATTCCTTGTAGAGTGTGGACAATTTAGAGTGTGCTCAGAGAGAGTGAGTATTCCAAACGGAGAGGGATTTCGAGATTGTGTCATGAGGACCAGTGGAAGAATGTGTGCATTTCTTAAATAAATATTGATTGTTTAATATTATTTTGGGGTTTGTATTACAAAAACATTGTGAGGGTTTTTGGGGGGGATTGTTTTTCAAAGTATAAGTTTGTATTAACATACTCAACATGCATCTGTAAACCATAGAAACCATCGACCTCACCTCCCCCACCTCCCCCACCGCAGAGTCACACACCCCAGGTGAAAATTGCCAGTCTAAGGGCCTGCGAGTATTTGAAGATGTGTGGTCAACAGGCATTCCCAAAAGAGGAAGCAAACTTGTTCCGTGGAAGGCGGACCAATGACCCACGCGTGTAATTACAGGGAGAAGAGCTGAGTGTTTCCCCCGTTAGCCGTGTAGGGAACAGTGGTTAACACCTGGGAATGTGACAGCCTGCCTGTAAGTTAAGGGAGTGAGTTTTCTATCAAAATTGTTCAAACAATAAGTTGACTTTCTTTCAGAAAGCTGTAGACAGGGATTTCCAGCTTTTGTTTTGTTTTTTCATAAAACCCACTGCCGTCGAGTTGATTCTGACTCCTAGCGACCCTAGATGATACAGTAGAACTCCCCCATGGGGTTTCCAAGGCTGTAATATTTATGAAAGCTGACTGCCATGTCTTTCTCTCCCAGAGGGGCTGGTGGGTTTGAACCACCAACCTTTTGGTTAGCAGCCAAGTGCGTAACCACTGTACCACCAGGGCTCCTTAATAAAGGAACCATTTTCCAAATGAAGTTGTGTGCGGAAGACCGTACTGCCAACCAGATAGAAAAGGAGCTGCTCCAGTCTCCTGGAGGAGCAGAGGTTCTGAGCCACGCCACCCCGCCGCGGGCTGGCTCAGGGCTGGCTCAGGGGGAGCTGATGGGACTGGAGACCTGTGACACCCCTTGTCACTCTAAATTTCTGTAGTCCCAGGAGGAGTCTGATCACAGAGACGAAGATCTGTTCACCCAGCCTAGTTCAGTAGCTGCTTTTCTAGAAATTGCTTTCTGAACGTGTTCTTTCTGCGCAGTTCTTTCAGGCGGCCCAGGAGCAGAGGGCAGGCGCTGAGCAGTATGAAGACCTCAGACACTATGATTACAACAACCCTAACGACACCTCCAACTTCTGCCCCGGGCTCCAGGTGACAGGACGAGCACGCGGTCCCCCTTCCAAGCAGAAGAGTTGCTCTCCTGCTTCCTGTCTCCCGTTCTCCCTACATGGTGGAAGGATGTAGGGCATTCTGAATCAGGCGAGAGTTTTGTGGGCGCAGGGTCAGCCCTGCCTCAGGCGTCAGGGAGCTGAGCAGAGCTGAGGGGAAGCCTCAGCCTTGGGGAAGCCTCAGCCTTGGCCTGCCTTCCCTCAGGCCTTACGTGCGTAAGTGAATTGGTATGCCCCGGTCAATCCCTCCACTTATGGATGGAGCTTTTAGCGTGTGAAAAGCACTCGCCTTGTCTTACAAATTTCAAAAGAATATAAAACACGCTTCCTGTTCTTAGAAGCTCATATTCTGGCTAGGGAGACAACACAGACAGACATGTGAAGGGGGTGTGATGTAAAGGGGAAATGATGGCTGGAGTGGGCCTGAAGCCAGGCGTCCAGCTTGGGTTTTGGTTCTCACGCTGCGAACTTGTGCAGACCACTCCCCATCCCACAAGGTAATCTCCGTACGCGTGAGCCTCACCTGTGCCCCTGTACATGAGGAGAGGGAAAAGGCCTTGGGGAGGAGTGTGTTCACCTTGTTTAGAGGAGCATTAGCTGTTGTGTCTTAGTGACAATCCAGACTGCCCTCTTTACGATGCTTCCTCAGCTTTAGTGCCTGGGGAGCCTGCAAAAAATGGTTACATGTGATCATGAAAACAGTGATCTGATGATTAATAGTTATCTCATAATTATTAATTTAAAGTTATTATTAAAAATTAGAATCGCCTGGGAAGCCTGTTAAAACAGACTCCGGGCCCCACCTCCTGAGATTCTAGGGTTTCGCTCTGGGTGGCCCCCAGCAATGCCTGTGCTGCTGGTCTGCAGGCTCACAGTGAGGCGCAGCGTCTGGGCAGCCTCTGGATCTCTGTGTCCTCACTGAGTGAGGGGTAATGTTCATCAGGGAACTGAGTCAGTGATTGATCCCTCAGGTTTCAGGAATGCGTCTGGTAAAATGAAATCCTAAATTGGTCAGAAGCCAAAGGGAGCGTGATGGCAGTTATGATGATTAAATTCCTTTTAACTCCCTGCCTAGAGATCTCCAGGTGGGTGGCAGACACCACCCTAGCTGGGTTATGTGGGAGGAGAACCTAGGCACCTAGAAGTCATCCTAGGCTTGACCCACTTCATGCACTGTCGGGATGCCCTCTCCCTGCTGCGTAAGGACATTTCGCAGCCCCTTTGGACAGCTTCTGCCAAATGTTTAAGAGCTGTTTTCCTTGCCCAGGCTGCTGACAGTGATTATGAAGAGTCAGACAACTTATTTGTGGGACCAACTGGGGCCTTTGACCTCACACTGTGTCCTGGCCATCCACCTAAGACAATGCAAGAGAACAATGACACCCCCGAAGTCCAAGGATTGGACATCATGACCTATGGGGAGTCAGAGCTGGTGGCCGAGCCTCAGAAGGTAAGGACGGAGCCGCCGAGAACTACACCATTCCCCTGAGGTCTGTCTATTTTGCCTCCTCTGGGAGGCCTGCCGGTCTCAGCTTGATTTTGGTTTTCTTCTCAAGTTTAACCTGTGGCTGTCCGAGTGGCTGGGTCTCAAACAGGACGGTAGGGAGTGAACTGATGCTAGTTAGGTTTCTGTAGAACTGATCGTCTCTCCAAAATCCTTGATGAGCCATGTGACTGGGACGGAACCGTCCCAAGTACAGTGTGTGAGTGAAGGCTGCAGGCAGAGAAAATGAGCTTATACTAATTGAGTCAGGCTAGCTGTTTGGCCCTGGAGAATCTTGGCCAGATTCAGTCTGTGTTAAATGAGTATGCGGTACACATCTGTGTAGTCCACATCAGGTGACAGACTTGCTGCTTTCATATATGTTGTGATTCGCTTGTTGCTTTTACAGTGGAATTCCACCTTAGGCTTAAGGTAGATTGCACTTGATCAAAAAGAAATTCGATTTGAGATGAGGGACTCGACTCTAGCGTATCCACAGAGAGCTCTAGAACGCCTTGCTCTGAACCGGCCTCCTTCTTTATTTGAACTCCAGGCTTACATTTTCACAGTGAGTTGATGTGATGGAATCTAATGAGTTTTCCTTTGTCATATACCTATTTCAGGTAAATAAAATTGAAATCCATTATGCCAAGACTGCCAAAAAGATGGACATGAAGAAGCTGAAGCAGAGTATGTGGAGTTTGCTGACCGAGTTCTCAAAGAAGCAAGCAGATGCAGAGGTACCGGGGTTTCCACTCATCTCAAGATGCCTCATTGTGCAGGCATTGGAGTGGCTGGTTTCCAAGAGTCTTGGGATTCCGTGATTGGGTCAGTAGCTCTCATACAGAAAGCGTTCATTCAGAACTGTAAGGAAGGCATCGAGTCTCTAAAAGATAAATGGACCAAGTACATGAACAGACAGTTCACACAAAAGCAAGACGAAGGGGAAATTATTCAGCCTTGCTGGAAACAAAAAAAGAAGACATCTTTATGTTGCTTTAAAAATAACAGCAGTTTTAGCAATTAAACTATGTTGTTCAGTACCGAGGTTGAAGAAAATATTGGAGTACTGACAGCAACTTACGTTGACATATGACCCTTCTGGAAAGCAAATTATAACTACATCTCAGGTGCCGTAAGACGTTTTACACTTTGATCTAATAATTTTGATTCAGAGAATGTATTTTAAGTAAGAACGTAGTTTAAAAAAAATCTGTATTGTGCTGTCAGATTGTCTCTTTCTCCTTTAGAGAAAGGAGATTACCTTGATTAACTAAGTCCAGCTAAGTGGGGCTCTCAGCTAGCGGAACCCTGCCATCTCCCCTTCCGTACCCATCCGCTCAGGGAATGCTTTGAGTTATCCACACTCAGCCCATGCTCTCATACCTTCTCCTGCTGCCTGAGAAGTGAAAGTTCATGATTCCTTGGAAGACCCTGAGCTGTACACAGGGTATCAGATAAAGCCTCAGTCACATTCACAGGGTTTTTATCAACCAAAACCGAATGGGATGCACATGTTTTAAGAGAGATGTGCTTTTCAAAAAGTGGGAGAGGGTTCTGCTTAACCTTTAAGAGACTCATGATACCTTACTTCTCAGGAATTCTGGTTAATAAGGGTTTATTCTTTAAGGGGGCAAAAAGCTATTATGAAAATATTCAAACATGTACAAAAGTGGGGAAAACAGTGGAGAGAAGAGTATAGTGAACTCCTATGTCTAATAGTTAGCAATGTTTTATCTGTACTGTCACCAGCTCTGTCCCCTGCGCCTCCCCGTGTACATATTCTAAGTTATTGTAATGTAAATCCCAGACACGGTATTCCTTCATAAATACTTGCCCACTCGCAAGGAGGCAGCAAGGTATCATCTTGGAGTGGAGCACTTGCGTCGGTTTTCAGACTGCGTTCTGTGCTACCCCTCACTGGGGAGTCCAGTCGGTGCGATGAATGATCATGGCCTTTCGTTGTTGTTTTATTATTTCCTGTTTCCCCCGGAACTCTCGAAGCCTCTTTGCAGTTTCCCCTTTTCCAGGGTTTTACTGGTCACTGACATCCACGGTTGGCATCAGTAGGTAAACGTGGGTGTCGTAGTCCAGACACGGGCGCTGCTTCCCTTTATATGGATGCTTTTTCTTCAGAAAGAAGGAAAATACCCTGCTTTCATTCAGATGTAGACTTGTCTTTTCGGAGATACAGCTTCGTACTTTGCTGTCTCAAAAATGCACTGGCCCTAAGTGTCTGCTGTGTAAATGTCCTTCTTTTAGGCAAACCACAGTGAGATGGGGAAAGAAGGGGCCCCGGAGGAGGTGGCTAATGAGAAGCTGTTCAGTGGGCTCACAAAGGACCTGAAGAAGAGGTGCGTGCCGGCATCGCGAGGGGGCTCACTGTCTCTCTTCCCTCCGAGCTCCAGCTAAGGGTGCCCCGGCTGAGCTATCTGATGGGTCCCTCCGAGCCC